TCACTTAGGAGTATATCTTCAATATGTATCCATTTTCCTATGAATGAATCTATTTTCTCGTTCTTTATGGCTGAGTAATATTCCATTTTATAGAAAAACCACAACTTCTTTATCCAGTTTCCAACGGATGGGCAAATAGGCTGTTTCCAAGATTTAGCTATTACAAACTGTGCCGCTATAAACATGGGTGCACATACTTCTCTGTGATATGATTTTTTTAGAAGGGACTTTGGCCAGATTCTTCCGGTCAACAATCTGACTAGCATCAAAAGAATTGTACTGAAAAGATTCTGGCTTGTCCCCAATGTGCTTGTTTTGGTCCACTGGAAAGTAATACGATGAAGTTTTCATTGTATCTTCAGAAATAAAAGACTTTCTGAGTAAAACACAGAGCATTCATAGAGATGCTCAAATAGACATACTTTAAATGAGGTGACATGTTTCTGGACCCCTTCCCTAACTCCACTGTCTGAACAGTCATACAAGTTCACCCTGTTGAGACTCCATCTTATAAAGAGAGTTAACAACCTGTATATCTCTCTCCAAGTACTCACACTCTCACTGAGCTTTTGATGTTCTTGTACTTGAATCTGAGGTCAGGTGCAGGAATCAAGACATTTTCCTATGTCTCCACTTCTAGCAGAAGTTACCTATGCTTCTGAGTGTGTGACCTGCACTCCTCTCTAGAAAGGAGACCCCTGAAAGACCTCAGCATTTGATTATCTTAATGAAACTTCATCATTAAAATCTAAGTTTTATTATTTTGTGGGGGGAAAGTTGAATTCTGGAAGGAGAACGTTTGTATTTGGGAAGGGATGGAATATATGCTTTTAGATTTTTGCTCATATTTATTGATTTACTAGACTGATTTTCTTAATTCACCAGAAAGCCTGGATTAATATTCTTAAGAATTGTAATCAAAACAAAGTGGCAGTGCATTTGACCAAAATGTCCTTCATTTTAAAGGCTTACTGGTATTCTTTTATTTATATATACCATGTTTCCTTTATCTCCTTTTCCACTGGGAGAGACTCAGGTTGCTTTCATATGTTGGCTATGTAAGTAATGCCATAATGAACAGGGAATTGCAGAGTCTCTTGACAGTAATGATTTCAGTTCCTTTAAAAAGTAATTGTGGGGCCGGGGATTTAGCTCAGTGGTCTGCCGCCTGCCTCACAAGCACAAAGACCTGAGTTCGATCCCTGGTATAAAAAAAAAAAAAAAAAAAAAAAAAAGTAATCGTGTATGACTTCAAGGATTAGCCAGGAGGACATTTTGCTAAGTGAAATATGCCAGATATAGAAAAACAAATATGGGGTGTCTAGGACCACACCACCATGAATGCTCCTGATCTCAACAAATATGGGTTTCCTCAATATCCATAGGCTACCCATGGCAGGACACTTTGCAAATACCTAAATCTGCCTAAATGCTTGAGTTTCTTATTAAAATGATGTCATATTGGC